GTTGGCCCAGGATCGGACATTGTTTTGTTCTGCTGTGCATGGGGTCGCTATGAGTCGGTTCCGACTCGATGGCACCTGACAACAACAACAACATATCTGTTTCATGACTTTCTTAATTCACTCAGCATAATGTTTTCTGATTTCCATGTTTTAGTATATATAAAGACAACATATTTTCATAGCAGAATAATATTACCTTGTATATATTTCAAAATTTTTTTATCCACCTATAGACACTTAAATGCTTTAAATAAAATGTTTTAGAGCTATTATTTTGATTGTGTAAAGTTAGTAGATACACTTGATCTTATCCCAACATTTAAACAGATTATGTTTTCTGCATGGCAAATCCTCAAATATAATCATATTTTTAACAATACTAAAATCAAAACATGAATGACACATAATAAGTATTATACATACCAGAAAATTGATTGCAGAAATTATGACTTGTCTAGTCCCAAATACTAGAAAATAAGAAAGCAAGATGTCATACAAATAATATTTTGGATTGTATGATTATAGAAATTACCTGATAACATTTATAGGATATCATAATGTTCTCTGATCAAAAGTATTTTGTTTCATATATTTCATATATTCAAAATGAAAGTATTTCATTTTCAAATGGAAATATCAACAATTCACATTATTGACCTTCAAAGGGAGATTTAATTTCTGTTGTCTTTTCAAAATATATTTAGCATGGTCTTGGGGTTCCTGGTGTGACACTGTAGATTAAGTACTGGACTATTAACCACATAGCTGGTAGTTAAAACCAAACAGTTGCTCCTCAGAAATCCTCTACAGGATTGGGACCACTTGATGACCAACAGTGACAACTATATAACAGGCATCATGTAAATATCTATTGTTTCTTAATATTTAGCAGTATTAATATTCTAACAATACTGCTCATTTTTGCATCAGTGTTATGCAACAGATACTATTTTAACTGTTTTACATTTTTCATAGTAAAAACAAACATATAAAAAAATGTGGAAAGTATGCATTGTGAAAAAACTATGGAAATATATTTTTAAATCTTTGTATAAAAGTAATCTCAACCAACTAATAATAATATACCTGAACACAATATAGTTTGAAAAAAGTCCGCATTACAGCAACATGAATACTGCTAAAAGAAAAGCAAGAATAAACATCCAGTTAATGGTGAAGTGTGGGTAGAAGAATGAAATAACTGCTGCTTCATGAAAATTTTGCAGGGTCAATGCCCCAAGTAAATCAGCAGTTTACCAATGGATAACTTGTTTTAAGAAGGAAGAAAGTGAAGTTGATGATGAAGTCCCCTGCAGAAGACCATCCATATCAATTTGCTAGGAAATAATCAATATATTTTGGTAATTGACAAATAGCAACATAAGCAATTTCCAACACCATAGAAATGTCTGTTGATTCACCTTGCACAATTCTGACTGAAAATTAAAGATGAGTCAAGTTTCCTCTTGTTGTTGTTGTTAAGTGCCATAGAGTCGGTTCCGACCCATAGCGACCCTGTACAGGGTTTCCGAGGGTGTAAATCTTTACGGGAGTAGAAAGCCTCATCTTTCTCCCGCGGAGCGGCTGGTAGTTTCGAACCGCTGACCTTAAGGTTCGCAGCCCGATTCGTAACCACTACGCTACCAGAGCTCCTTAAGTTTCCTCTTAATGGGTGCCAAAACTATTACTCTCAGATGAGCTGAAGGAAAGAACAAAGCTTTCAATGCAAATTTAAATAAGTCCTATAGATATCCTGAAGCATTTCAGGGAAGAATTGTAACAAGAAGTGAAACATGACTTTGCCAGCATGATCCTGACCACAAAACACAAAGCAATGGTTACCAAGTGGTGGCAGTGGATCAACCTTAGCAAAAGCAGTCAAGAGCAAAGGTCATGGCAACATTTTTTTTTTTTTTTTTTGAAGGCATTTTGCTTGTTAACTTCCTGGAGGACCAAAGAACAATAACATCTGCTTATTATGAGAGTGTTTATAATCCCCTCCATATACCATCAGTTCACAGTATTTCTCTCTATTCATTTTTTTTTTTTTTTTTTTTAACTATTCAGGTTAATTTGTTTATTGACTTCCTGGAGGGCAGAAATGATAACATCTGCTTGTTATAAGAGTATTTTGAGATAATTAGCTGATGTTTCAGCAGAAAATTGCCTAGGAAAACTTCACTTAAGGATGCTTCTCCACCACAATAAGGTTGATCATTTCTCACATAGAACAAGGGCAATTTTGCAAAATTTGCAAAATTTTGCAAAAAGTTTCAAAAGAAAATCATCAGGCATCCACCTTACAGTCCTGATTTGGCTCCTTCTTAATCATTTTTGTTTCCAGACCTTAAAGGTCATGTTGAATTTACAATGCAGAAAAGAAAACATATACTTAAAAAAATTATCATGACCCTCAGTTCTTTTTATGTATGAAATAAATAGATGTGAGTCCTGGTGTGGTGCCGGCGTCTGACCTCGACATAGCTGTGTTGTTCACGAGTGTTTGGTTCACAAGGAGGGGAGATTCAGCGGCGATAGGGATAGTGAAAGAATACACAGACAAACAGAAGAAGGGAGACAATGAGGCACCCCAAAGCCAGGGTGGATGCATCACTGGTGGGCAGGCTTGGGAGTACAG